TCAGTGTAGGCCTGACTTTGGGGTAATTGGACTGACCAGAAAGTGTTTATTGAATTCCAGAGACTCTTCTTTTCTGGGAAGCTTCATCTACTTTTCAAACAGTAAGATATATTTTTTAAAAAATTTGTACATATTTTATGATTATTTAAACAGGAAAAAAAAAAGAACCCTGCACCCACAATATAGGGTGTGTTATATCCAGCTTAGCACTGCTCAACAGCAGCAAAGCACTTTCTAGAAACACTTACCTAGATTTTATAAATATAGATTTAGGAAGTTTTACATATTACTTTCATGTATGATGTGTGTGCAAGTTAACTTTCCTTAAACTTTTTTTTGGGAGGTGGGGGTAGCAGGAATTAAACTCAAGAGCACTGAACCACTGAGCCACATCCCCAGCCCTGTTTTGTATTTTATTTAGAGACAGAGTCTCACTGAGTTGCTTTGTACCTTGCTTTTGCTGAGGCTGGCTTTGTACTTGCGATCCTCCTGTCTCAACCTCCTGACACTGGGATTACAAGCATGCACCACCGTGCCCAGCTTCCTTATGTTTTAATGCTCTTTCGAGGATAACCCCTATAAATATCAACTACTGAAAATAAGTCATCATATTCATATTGTCTTATTTCAGTTTGCTATCTGGCCTCAATGAAACAAGTTAAGAAATAGTGTTCTTGGTTGTTTTTGGTAATCATGGATGCCTCTTTTTCTTTTCATAATAAAGAGTAACAAAAAATGTTCAAAGTTATTCAAAGGGTGGAAGTACTATTTATTTTTTATTCTTTTTAAATATGACAGTAGAATGTATTTGACGTACATACAAGGAGTAGAACTTCCCATTCTTGTGGTTGTACATGATGTAGAGTTACACATTTCCTATATGAATATAGGAAAATAATGTCCAGTTCATTTTACTATCTTTCCTATTTCCATCCCCCTTCTGTTTTCCCCCAATTCACAGTACTATTTATTGAAGTAAGGAACATAAGAAGAATTATTAGAGCTGGGGGTGTAGCTCAGTGGTAGAGCTGTTCAATAAAAGGGAATTGAAAGCATTTCAAAATCAATCACTCCACATAAATATGGCCAAATATGAGTCTGATATATACCATAATCTCTTCTTATGGTCTTACCCTTTGCTGCACATTTGTTTCAATAGGATTCCATATTTTGGGTATGCATATCAAGAGATGACACCAAACAGAAGTTGGAATCATTATGGTTAACCTGAGTATGTTGGAAACGAAGGAGAGGTTGAACATTATTATACACAGGCCATGAATCAGAGTGAATGTTAGCTACACTATAAAACAGACAGCAAAGTTTGGGTGGAATAGTCACTAGCAATTTCCGAATAACTAATAGCTGATTGACAGGTAATATCTCTCATGTCCCAAACCCATATTTGCTGTATGGCTGCTATGATACTTGATTTTTTGGCTAAAATAGGATTCGTCAATTTGCAAGTAGTGAGCTGTACCACCACCCTATTTCAGAAATGCTTGTATGGGGTTGGGGATGTGGCTCAAGCGGTAGCGCGCTCGCCTGGCATGCATGGAGCCCGGGTTCGATCCTCAGCACCACATACAAACAAAGATGTTGTGTCCGCCGAAAACTAAAAAATAAATATTAAAAAATTCTTTCTCTCTCTCTCTCTCTCTCTCTCTCTCTCTCTCTCTCTCTCTCTTTAAAAAAAAAAAAGAAAGAAATGCTTGTATACTTGGAGATAGAATTGTAGATATTCAATCAATGGAAGAATTTGAACAATTTGACCCAGGGAGACAAATTGTTCAATTGACCCAATCTTCTGTTGAAATGCCTCCAAGCAAGATAAAAAGAAACATAGTAGAAGACTGAAAAGAAGTCTTCAGAGAGGAAAAGAAAAAGGAGATAACCAATTTTGGGAAAATCAAGGAGGAAAAAGTTGTGAAGAGGGATAGATCAGTCTTGGTTTTACTGTAGAAAACAAAGCAGAAAATAATTTATTAAGTCGGGGAATTAGGTGTATAGCAAATGATTGGAAGATCAGTGTGTGGGAGTCAGGGCCAGCACTGAATGTATGAGTGAGCTCAAGACATCTGTAGACACTATCCTGTGGTTAGGAAGTTGCTGCTGTTGAGATTTATTTATATATTTATTTATTATACATGACAGAAGAATACAGTTCAATTCATAGTACACATATAGAGCATAATTTTTCATGTCTCTGGTTATACACAAATCATTCGTGTTTTCATACATGTACTTATTATAATGATGTCTGTGGTTGAGTCTTCATGGCACAGCCACGGTGGCCTCTCAACCTCTGCAAGGGCGGAATGTTCATTTTGGCCCCATCCTTGACCTGGCTCACCAAAAGAAATAATAATGGGAAAAACAGCCTCTTCCTATACTCTGTTTGTACCAAAGAGACAAAGTCCAGTTTGCATACAGCCTAATTCTCAAAGTGTAATTCCCCAGACCAGCCACATGAATAAAATCTGGGAACGCAGAAGAAAAACAAATTCTCTGTTCCCACATCAAAATTTAAACTCTTGAGGTAGGCCTAGCCATCTGTTTTGCTTCTTTGTGTTATTTGTTTGTTTATTTGTCTTTAGGGGCATATGTTGGGGATAAACCCAGGGCTTCACGCATGCTAGGCAAGCACTACCCGTGAGCTACATCCCCAACCCTAGTAACCTATTTTTTTTTTTTTTTAAAAAAACAAGCCCTCCAGGTGATCCTAATACATGCTAAATTTGAGAACCATTGGCCTAAAGAATCCCAGCCTACATAAGGGAGACTGGAAAAATAACAGTTTTATTTTTAGTTCTGCAGTACCAGAGGATGACATGGGGGTAGGAATTGGTACCCAAAACCAGTGACCACATCCGGCAAAAGAGAATGGTCAGTGGTGTCAGAGGCCTCAATGATAGATGGAATATAATGGTACCTGAAGAGAAATGGTTGAATCTCTCAATTAGGAGATCACTGAAGAGTTTCTGGGGTGGATCTTGCAGGATAACTGATGAAATGACATTAAGTCCAATTATGATGGACTAGGCCTGAACATAGAGAACTCTTATACTTGGGGTGGCTGTGCAACAGAGACAAGACATGGGTTTTCAGCTGGAGTTCAAATCTTCTGCTTCCCCCACGACCAGGTCTGTGCCCTGTACCATCCCGGCTCCATTTCTACAACTTTTTTCAGGATCTAATATGTACCAGACACTGTACTAGGCTCTATGTCATCTTTAATCCTTACAGCCACCTTGTAGGATGAGTAGGAAAATTTAGCTGAAATGCCTGTGGCCAAGTCTGTCTTGCTGCTCTGAGGTTTGAGGTCTGTCCCTATGCCTTCTGTTCTTGCTCTAGAAATTCTCTGGACTCACTGAGATGTGTTTTTATGAAAGATATAAGTTTTAAAAATACATGAAGGTATGTTTTTAGTGAGAATATAGACGATTCAGTTCATTTTATTCATTTTGTTTTCATTTTACATGATTTTTTAGACACAGAGGACAAGTTCCTTATATACATATACTGATGAAAAACTTAGTTTAAAATGCTTGGTTCTCATACAGACTTCACTATTAGAAAATATAGCTTGTGTGTGTGTTTGGGGGCTGGGGGAAGAAGTACCCCTGAGCTATATCTCCAGCACTTTTTAGGCAGAATCTCACTAAGTTGCCCAGGCTGGCCTTGAACTTATGATCCTCCTGCCTCAGCTGGAATTGTAGGCATGTGCCGATATACTTGGTGAAAATATAGCATTTCTAAGTATTTTTTTTCCATAACAGCATTCTTGAGCTACTTCTGGTTATGAAACTAATGATCTTTCACTATGTAAAAAAGACTAAATCTGGGGCTGAGGTTGTGGCTCAGCAGTAGAGCCCTTGCCCAGCATGTGCAAGGCCCTGGGTTCCATCCTCAGCACCACATATAAATAAATAAATAAATAAACAAATAAATAAATAAAGGTATAAAAACATTAACAGTTAAAAGATCCCTGAATATTAGCAGTACCTCACTTTTCCTTTATCTGGTGAACATTCTCCACTTATCAGAAGAGATGGCCCCCATTCCTTACAGTTCTTTCTGGGCTCCTCCTCCTATTCCACACCCCCCCACCCCCACCCCTGTCCCGATTGGTGGGTGTGGCTTCCCCACTCCCCAACAAGCCATTACTCTTGCTTCTTTCCACAACTTTATAATTTCTTTTTCCCTTTATCTGCCTTATGTATATATAGCCTATTTATACCTTGCTTTTCCTCCTGACTTCCTCTCCGCTTCTCCAATGAGCACACATAAGACCAGGAACCAAGCGTTATAAACAGGCACCTCTCCCGAAGATAGACTTGTGAACCCATTTCTTTTTACAACTCATTGGAGGCCTGGGGTTGTGGCTCTCAGCAGTAGAGCACTTGCCTAGCACGTGCCAGACGCTGGGTTGGATCCTCAGCACCACATAAAAATATATAAAGGTATTGTGCCCAATTATAACAAAAAAAAAAAAAAAAATCAAACAACTCATTGGAAAGCAAAACAAACATCTAGCTGGATGTGGTGGTGTGCATCTGTAATCCAATGATTCAGGAGGCTGAGGCAGGAGGATCACAAGTTCAGCAACTTAGTGATACCCTGTTTCAAAATAAAATGTAAAAAGGACTGGGGTATAGTTCATTGGGAGAGAGCCCCTGGGTTTAATCTCCTGTACTGCAAAAAAAAAAAAAAACAAAAAAAAAGGAAAGAAAATACACTTTTAACATTGGAATATATGGTTAGGAGTTGATTGAAAGGCTTCCTTTTAGAGTTGGGGATATAGCTCAGTGTAGGGTAACTGGCATGTGTGAGGCCCTGAGTTTGATTCCCAGCACTGAAAAAATAATAAAATTTAAAAAATTTTAAAAACCTCATTTTTTAATATAATGTGTAACTTAAATACTTGTAATTACTTAACATTATGAATGTTTAAAAACCAAATTATAAATGATTTTAATTAGTATTTACTTTCTCATTAGCTAAGAAATCTTCAAAGCAAACTTCTCATAAAGGAAAGTATGTTGCAAGAGATGAAGAGTGAGTTAGAAAGTTATAAAGAAAATAACACCCAACAGTCATTCCAGATAATGTCCCTGAGAGATGATATCCAGGACCTACAGGAACTCATTGCTTCTCTAACCAGAATGAAGTCTTTGAAAAACACCAACATTGAAAGTCTTGAAAGAGGCAACTGGGAACTAACTGAACAAGTTACAGCACTAGAAAACCTTCTAAAGTAAGGAATTTTTTGGTTTGTTTTAAAACAAGTCTTTTGCCATTTGTTTGCACATAGTATGTGAACATTATACTCCTGATTAGTCACAGAATTTAAATCTAGTAGAATTTCACCTAATACTGAATCAACATTATAATAGTTAAAAAAAAAAACTTTTTGCTGATATGTCACATACTATAAGAATCATGCCTTTAAAGTATATAGAATGCAGTAGTTGCACAATCATCACCACTAATTTCAAAATATTTTCATCACCTTCAAATTACCAGCCACTTACCAGTTACCCCCCATTCTACTCTCCCCCAGGCCCTGAAAACCACTAATCTTTCTGTCTTATGAATTTGCCTTTTCTGGATATTTCATATGATGCAATTATAATGTATGAGGCCTGTGTCTGACATCTTTCATGTGCCAAAATGTTTCAAGGTTCATAGTTCAGTGTAGGGTAACATTAATCAGTTCTTCATTCCTTTTTATAGCTGAATAATATTCTATTATATGTATATACCACATTTGGTTTATTTATTTATGTAGGGGTCATTTGAAGCAAAAAAGTTTTTAATGAAGTTTAAAATTTTCTAGTCACTTATTTCTTTGGTGTTATATGTAAGAAATCATTGATTAATCCAGGGTCACATTTACATCTATCTTCCCCCCACCGCCCCACCTTTGGAACTGGGGATTGAATTCAGTGATGCTTAACCACTAAGCAACATCCCTGGCATTTTTTTTCCCCTAATTTTGAGACAGGATCTCCCTCAGTTGCTTAGGGCATCCCTAAATTGCTAAGGCTGGCTTTGAACTTGTGATCCTCCTGCCTCAACTTCCTGAGTCACTTGAATTACAGGTATGTTCCAACCTGCCTGGCTTGGCTAAGTTTTTGACTGGTATGGGAGGTGGCATCCAAATTCATTCTTTTCCCTATAGATATTCAGTTGTTCCCAGCACCATTTGTTGAAAAGATTATTTTTTCCTCCATTGAATTGTCTTGGCATCTTGAATTTTGGTAATTCTCTTGCCAAAAATCAATTGACCATAAACATATGGATTTATTTATGGATACTCAACTCTGTTCCCTAGGTCTATACATCAATCCTATGCCAGTACTACACTGTTAATTACTGTAGCTTTATAGTAAGTACATTTAAAGATCATTTCAGCTTGTCAATTACCCCCCAAAAACGTAACTTGAATTTTGACAAAGATTATGTT